CTTGTGTGCATTGGACAATGGCGGTTGTAGTCACAACTGTAGCATAATTCCTGGGGAAGGCTTCATGTGCTCCTGTCCCCTGGGCATGGAGTTGGGAGCTGACAACAAGACCTGCCAGATCCAGAGTTTCTGCGCCAAACACCTCAAGTGTAGCCAGAAGTGCGAGCAGGAGAAATCCAGCGTCAAGTGTTCCTGTTATAAGGGCTGGGAGCTGGAGTCTGACATGGAGAGCTGCAAAAGCACTGGTGAGTAAAAACAGCCACTTGTTAGCATAAAGAAGTTTGTTTCCTCCCACAAACTGAAGAATTAAATTGAGAGCAAAGTAATTTTCCTGTGCTGAGGAAGCTCTACAATAGTAATTCTATTGCATGTGTAAACAGTATTTAATGCATCGTGGTGTTGAAGATACTCTTATGCCTTCACTTCAGTTCAGGTTTATTTGTATAGGGCCAAACCACAACAAAAAACTTTCACAAGGCACTTTACATAGTAATGTCTAGACCACTGACTGTGTAAATATGGACAATGCGTCATCACTTCCCTCCGCTATGCAAAAGTGTAGCCAAAATATTGCAAATATGGTGGTGACGCCTTGGCATTTTGCAACCAGATTCTGTGCAGTGGTGACTGAGTAGCTGAGTGATTTATCAGTCCTCCAATCAAAGCTGTGAAATCATCTGAAATGCACCCCTTTTTATATCATCATATAACTTATTAAAATCAAACTTACCAGAAAAATGACCACTTGTGCACATGTCAGCGTGACTAGTATCAACCAGAAACCAACTCCTGGGAATAATTTATCTGATTTGTATTTTGAGTTTTTAGTTCGGCTGTTGGCTCTGCTAATGTGGAGGGGGCGGGAGTTGTGACCTGTCCTGCGGCCAGCCAGTGAATCACAGTGGCAGTAAATCTGGGAGCTGTCATGGCGCCCATATTGAAAACAGCTGATGGTCTAGACCTTATAGTGTTATAGAGAGAGCCCCAACCCAACAAATCCCTCTTGAACAAGCACTTGGCGCCAGTGTGGGGGGAAAAAAAAAACTAAATTTAACGGCCGAAACGTCCACACTGGCGATAGGTGTGCCTGGAGGCATTATGTTTTCAGGTTGTACATTCAACCCATTCTCATGAACGCAGTATTTCAGGAACACCTTGAGGAAATTTGTTCAATTTTGGCACAGGTGTCCACTCAGACTTAAGGAATACCTGATTGGATATTGGTGGTGAAAGGTCAAGGTCACAGCAACCTCACATATGTCCCGTTCCCATGAATTTGGCTAGCAGGCAGAAGCAGCAAGCAGCAAAGTCCTACAGTTACTCAGTTTTTCTCTTTGCAATTGACAGAGAGGGGAAATTTGGATTTGATCCAAGATGAGGAAGAGGATTTTGTGAATTTGGACTTGGATATGAGATGTACTGTGGTGAAACGCTAACATTTTTCTGGGAATAATTTCTTTGCCTTTAGATCCCTTCAAGCCTTTCATCATCTTCTCCAACCGTCATGAGATCAGAAGGATTGAACTTCACAAGGGGGAGTTCAGTGTGCTGGTACCAGGCCTGAGGAACACCATTGCCTTGGACTTTCACCTCAACCAGAGCACCCTATACTGGACTGATGTTGTGGAGGACAAGATCTACCGTGGGAAACTGTCTGAAAATGGAGGTGAGGCAGCCAGTTAGCTACAGTTTTCTGCAATTTTAGGTTGTATTGAAAGATTGATGGGTTGTTGGAATGAACAGTCCATTTGCATAGTTCATTTTTCAGTGGAATGTAACACAAATTTAAAGTGGATTGTTGCTTCTGAGCTAGCAATTCACGTTTGTGCTTTTGACTGAGCATTTCTCGGAAACTGTCTTCCGCTGAGCAAATACACTCGCTCTAGTTTCTCAGATGTCTTTAAAAAGAAACTGTGGTCAGCAGTGGCAGTCTGTGACCCTGAATAAACTTCCCAGGTCATAGTCAGCGTTTCTTGCTCTAAAGCCCCAGGCCTCCTTGCCAATCAAGGTTGTGTTCCCAGTGCAGCACTTTAGGGGCACACGGAAGGCTTTGTCTCTTCCCATTTGTTTCAGTACTTACTGTGCGCGACTGCAGCCAGAACACTGATGTAACACGGGAGGCACAACACACTGTGGTTCCAGTTCCCAGCCCTCCAACTTCACCATTAAAACGGGCCTTCTGAACAGAGACATTGTGACCAACTCATAGATCAGATCCTGCTGCCTGTTATTGAAGCCATTTCAGCATCTCCAGAGTGCCAACAGCTTGATAAAGACACCCCTGCTGCCAAATACACACTGAAAGGCAGCCATAATTCCAACATTTCTTTATGCAAGCTGTGAAGAAGGCCTATCCCTCTCCCTCTAATTACTCCTGGAAGGACTTGTGAAGAACTAGCCTGAGCTGATCACACATTTTGGTTTTGCATTTAGTTTGTATGAGAACCAGTTGTTTCTTGGAAATAATAAAAAGCCAGATAGAGCTGGTGTTGGATGCTTGTTTTCATAGTGGAACAGTGGAGTTGAGAAGATAACACCAGTCAAAGTACAGACATAGCAGCAGAGCAGGGCAAATTCTTAAAGAATAAAAAAATTCAAAGTAGTATGTAGGATGGTTTTTGCAATGAACCATGTGTGCTGGTTTTTCTAAAACCCACTTAGATTAAATTCTATAAAAAGCAAATAATAATAATGATGATAATTTTTTTCAATTTGTCAAATAGATGATAAAGAACCTAGCATCATCCTAGTTCTGAGTCCTCCTTTCTCTGTGTGTTCTGGTCAGCCTTGACCAGTTTTGAGGTGGTGATCCAGTACGGACTGGCTACTCCTGAGGGCCTGGCTGTGGACTGGATAGCAGGAAACATCTACTGGGTGGAAAGCAATCTGGACCAGATTGAGGTGGCCAAACTGGATGGGACCATGAGAACCACCCTTCTGGCCGGGAAGGTGGAGCATCCCCGAGCCATCGCCCTCGACCCTCGTGATGGGTAGGAGGCGTAGATCAAGAGATTCTAAAGCTGTAATCACCCTTTATATGTATGTGTTGTTCTTACACAGAATTTACAGTTCAGTTGTCAACAGTCAAGAAGCCTTAGTGTAGGATACATTACTCCTACAGCATTATCTGTGAAAGTGATGCTCTCAAGTGCTAATACTGTACACACACGTGCTAATCCCTCCTCACATTTTTTATTTTCTGTCGGCAGTATCCTGTTTTGGACAGACTGGGATGCCAGTCTGCCTAGGATTGAGGCCGCATCTATGAGTGGTGAAGGCAGACGCACAATTCATAGGGAAACGGGCAGTGGTGGCTGGCCCAACGGGCTCACTGTAGACTACATGGAAAGGCGCATTGTCTGGATTGATGCCAGGTAGCATTTGCCATTCTCTGAATATACAGAGCGCTCTTATTGCACTGCATCCACCCGCTCACTCATTACCTCACCTGCATACTCTGTTTTTCTCTTTTCTTGCCATTGTGCAGTTTTTAAATAAAAATGCAGATGTGCTTAGCTTATGTAAAACTACATACAAAGTACAGGCTCATCTAGTAACATGAGCAACATCCATATAGCTAAGCTGATGCACATGCTACCCCTGTTATGTAATATATACATCTGTGCCTTAATGCTTCTGCAGGTCAGATGCTATCTACTCTGCTATGTATGACGGTTCTGGGCTGATTGAAGTGTTGCGGGGTCATGAGTATTTGTCCCACCCCTTTGCGGTTACTATGTATGGAGGCGAGGTCTACTGGACTGACTGGAGGACTAACACTCTGGCCAAAGCCAACAAATGGACAGGACACAATGTCACTGTAGTCCAGCGGACCAACACGCAGCCCTTTGACTTGCAGGTGTATCATCCATCCAGACAACCTCAGGGTAGGTTGCACACAAGCTACAGGTGGAAAAGCACACGCTCACAGGGAGAGATTTCAGATTCACCTTTGGGCTTTAACTCAAAGGAGAAATGGTTGCCGACCACGTTGATTCATGCCTTCTGTTCCCCAAAGACAACTGACCTTTTAGAGCTGTGGGACACTTTGTTTTCTCCCGCTGGCAGTGATTTGGCTCACTGATCACAAAGTCACCTCTCTGTTTTCCATTTCCCACCAGCTGGGAAGGAAATAAAGCCTCAAACATACATGACTGACAAGATTGTCTGAACCGTTCTGTCACTTTGAACTGTCAGCTTAATGTTAGTAGCCAGTGCCTATGGGATCCCATGGGTTGTGTGGGACCTAGGTCCTGTAATTGGAGGCAGGAAAAGAGAGATCTCACAGAATTGTTGATTGACAGTTGCAACCAGTGCCTGTGACAGTGATGAGGTAACAAGTTGTATTGACAGGAAGTCTTTTTCTGCAATCTACTTTTCTTGAGGGTTAAATGATGGAAATATCCATTACACACATAAAAAATGAGAAGATTACACTTTGACTGTGAGACTCTTAAGTGCGTCTCAACTTAAAATTAGTTGCATAGTCTGATATTAGAATGTTTAGTCTACTTATCTTTAGTCTCATGCTTCTGAGTTTTTGAAAATGTTTTCACCATTCTGGAGAACATATTGTGAGACTCTAAGGAGATACCTCTTCTGTTTTTAAGTCTCTTATATCCCACAGCTTCTCTGTCTTTTTTATGTCTTTTTCTTTATTTCCTACATTTCCGTCATGGTCTCTTTTAGCTCCCAACCCATGTGCCACCAGTGGTGCTAAAGGCCTTTGCTCTCACCTCTGTCTCATCAACTTCAACCAGACCTTCTCCTGTGCCTGCCCTCACCTGATGAAGCTACAGCCTGACAAACGCACCTGCAAAGGTACAGACAGATGCTGTTGCTTAGGCACACACAAGCACACACCCACAGACTTTTTCTCTCACCTTAGAAGCCACTTTGAGGGAGAATGTAATGACGACGCTGTCATATTTAATCCATGTCATCAAAGAGGTGGGGGCAGGATCTCTCCTCACAACTGTCGGGACTGCTGCCAGGACTGCTCTCAAACATGACATCGGCATCACCAGCTGTCATCTCTTAATGCAGAAGATTTGATGTTTGTCTTGTTCCTTTCACTTTCACTTTCACTTCATATAAAAGACTGTCACAAGTGGCGTGCTGAAATGTACATACTTATGGCTTTGCAGTGTGGTTTCATGATGTTTTTACTGGTAGCTGTGGGGATTGATTTGCACATGCTCTTATTCTGAGTGTCTGCCTGAATGTTTAGGATTCTACAGAACAATCATCATCTGAGCAGTGTATCTGTAAGGATGGTTGGATTAGGGGGATGTTTGAATTACCATATAGGAAATAAACAATTGGAAAATCTAATTAATTTTGCTAAAGTTGTATTTTTCATTTGTCGATGTATAATTCAGATTTTGGGCTCCCACTTGTTCTTGGGATGAAACAGTCCCGAACAGCACATGCCAAACCACAGTGTAGCCATTTTTCAGGGAGCACAGCAGAGTTTCAGTCAAATCTTCACATTCACTACTTAAACTTATTTTCAGTTCTGTAAACTCTTGATTGAGGGGGAGTTATGGGTTATCTCCACCCCCTGTCTCCCAGGAGATAATCAAGCACAGACAAGGACAGCAGGTTGCTGACTGATTAGTTTGACCCTCTTCAGCTTCTTCTCCTGGGATCCTGCTGGCTCTTGTTGATTGTATGGCTAGTACAGTGAGAAGACGCCTAAACTTAACTAAACCTTGGATCACAATCAACCTGTAAGAGTATAGATGTGTCAAAGTTGAACTTGAAGTGCAATAAAAATGATTAAAAACTTTCTTACTCTGTTTGTTTTTCCTTCCCAGAGTCCCGCAAGTTCCTCCTTTACGCTCGTCAGATTGAAATCCGAGGCGTCGACATCGACAATCCTTACTACAACTACATCATTTCCTTCACTGTACCAGACATAGACAATGTAACTGTGGTAGACTATGATGCTGTGGAGCATCGCATCTACTGGTCAGATGTCCGAACACAGACAATCAAGAGAGCTTTCATCAACGGCACCGGAGTAGAGACTGTTGTGTCTGCTGGTAAGGACAATACCTGGAATATCTGTATCTGTTCAGAATTTCATTTAGTTCTTTTTATTTCAGTTAGAAGCTTAGACTTGTAAAAATGCATGGGTTTTTTTTCAAGAGTTATTGGACATTAAAATAATCTGTGATAACACACTGCATTCTCAGGGAAGTCTTTAATCTTTTGTTGTGCTGGCACTCACTAGACCTTCCTAATGCCCATGGGCTGGCAGTAGACTGGGTGTCCAGGAACCTTTTCTGGACCAGCTATGATGCCAATAAGAAGCAGATCAATGTGGCCAGACTGGATGGATCTTTCAAAAATGCTGTCATCCAGGGTTTAGACAAGCCCCACTATTTGGTGGTGCACCCTCTACTGGGGTGAGTGTTCCCTCCGGTTGCTCGGGCCTGTGCTCAGCTTAATGTGTGAATGCTCTATCTAGTAGTCTTTTTCTGGTTTCACCTAATAATACTTAAGTAAATCTCTACAGGCTTTGATTGTACAGTTTTGCTTTTCATTAATTACTTATGTATTTTATTTAAGCACTTTGGTGAATATTTTCGGGGAAGGGCAATGAGTCTCTTGTTTTTCCACATTTTTTTGCTCCTGTTGTGTTTTACTGTAATGTGTCTTTGGTAGAGAGCAGACTTCAGCCTAAATCCACATCACACATTGTTCATATCCCTCCTCAGAAAGCTGTACTGGACTGATGGTGACAACATAAGCATGGCTAATATGGATGGTAGCAACCGCACCACACTTTTCACCAGTCAGAAAGGACCAGTGGGTGAGCATGTGTACTTTCAAAAACAACAGACTGCAAAATAATACTGACTCTTTATTTAACTACACAGGATGAAAGCACAGATAAACATATAAGAGATAATTGTGTTGCCGTTCTTTTCCCTCAGGCCTCTCCATTGACTATGATAAAGAACAGCTATACTGGATCAGCTCAGGAAATGGCACCATCAACCGTTGTCAGCTGGATGGATCTAAACTGGAGATACTGGAAGGTGTTAAAGGCAAACTTACCAAGGCTACTGCACTGGCTATAATGGGTAAGATGGGGCAAAAAAGATAACGCTCCTGCTAAATTACCCTCTTTGTTTTTTGTAAGCCATTTTCAGTCATAATTCTATGTTAAAGGGAACTATATGAATTATTTTCCTTCACTGTAGGAGACAAGCTGTGGTGGGCAGACCAGGCAACTGACCAGATAGGAACATGTGACAAGAAGGATGGAGGAAACTGGAAGGTTATGCGAAACAGCACCTCCCCAATGATGCACATGAGGATCTATGATGAGGATGTGCAGAAAGGTAATAAATACAGTATATCCCTGGTACAAAGGTACCTGCTTCTGGGTTTGCGAGTAATGAGCCACAATGTAATTCAACAAGAAAGAATTTGAAAGCCAATTTAAATTAAGTTCAATTCACTAGAGAGGAAAAGAGTATTTGTCTTTTTCAAAACATTATCTCAATTTGTGTGTTCTTTTCCTCTAGCCGGGATAAACCTATGCAGCAATAACAATGGCGACTGCTCCCAGCTTTGCTTGCCTACTTCACTAACGACCAGGGCCTGTATGTGTACTGCTGGGTATAGCCTCAAGAGAGGACAACAGTCTTGTGAAGGTAAGACAGCTTCACAACTACACTCGCACATACAGTAGGAATGCTATGTGTCCTCAAAACAAACAGTTTTTGTCCCATCTCTGAGCAGGTATGGGCTCGTTCTTGCTTTATTCTGTTCATGAGGGAATTCGAGGGATACCACTTGACCCAGCAGACAAATCTGACGCCTTGGTCCCAGTGTCGGGCACCTCTCTGGCTGTCGGCATTGACTTCCATGCCGGTGAGTGACGCCGAGGGACATCAGTGACTAGATGGCGAGTCACATTTGAAATCTGTCATTATGCTGGTGAGGTGTATTTATAGAGTGACACAAAAGGCCTCATCCTTTTCAGAGAATGACACCATCTACTGGGTGGACATGGGACTCAGCACCATCAGCAGGGCTAAGAGAGACCAAACATGGAGAGAAGATGTTATCACCAATGGCATCGGGAGGGTGGAGGGCATCACTGTTGACTGGATAGCAGGTCTAGCCAAAGCCAATTTGAAATCCTGTTTAATTACAGTGAGGAACAGAAGTATTTGAACACCCTGCGATTTTGCAAGTTCTCCCACTTAGAAATCATGGAGGGGTCTGAAATTCACATTGTAGGTGCATTCCCACTCTGAGAGACAGAATTAAAAAAAAATTTCAGGAAGTCACATTGTATGATTTTTAAAGAATTTATTTGTCTTGCACTGCTGAACGTAAGTATTTGAACACCTGAGAAACAGCAAGAATTCTGGCTCGCAAAGACCTGTTACTGGGTTGTACAAGGTCAATGTCCTTGACCTCTTCCCCGTGGTCTGCCATGGTACTGAGGTCCACAGTACAGGGAGCAGAATCCCACTGATAAGGTGGTGCAGTCGGCTGCTGGCAAAGGATTGCTGCTGTGCATATGGCTGTACAGCATTCTGCACAGGCATTTGGTTAGCTGTAGCTTCAATTTGATTGACTTTGTCTCGCATTTCCTTCAACTGTGCTTTAGCTACCTGTGCCTGCAAGTAACAAAGCTCCTTTGTATTCTTTACTTGTGCTTCCAGCTCATTGTCAATATACTGAGTGACATAAGCTGACCACTGCTCAAAAGTAAATGTGTTGAGTCCCACTACCTGTCGCAGAAGATGCTGTATGGATGCTGGGAGGGAAGCCTCCACAGCACTGCGAAATAGCACCCCCATGGTGTCACTGATGACGGGGTCATCACCAGTGTGGTTCTGCCAGAGTTCACGCACTCTGAGCAAATACTGACTACCTTTCTCACCCTCTTGAGGTGGAATTCTACACAGCTCAACAGAGCACACTTGTACTTGGAATTTCTGGTGGAATTTCAGTATAGAGCAAAGCATTATCATGATCCTCGATAGTATTTGCCATCAATTCTACCTCCTGTAACATGCTCATGTCTTGAAGGCTAAAAGGAGTGTAGGTTCGTGTTATCTCTCCATAAGGTGAGGTGGACTGAAGCAATGGCAGCTGGTGTGAGGGAATGTGCAAACAGTCATGGATGTTCCCTCGCCCTCTCTGCATACGTTGTGATGCGAAATCATGCACTGTACCATCCCAGCTGGAATCATTACCATGAGACATTGCTGGCACTGAAACATCACAAAAGGGCCTTTCCTCCTCCTCTGAGACAGAGGCAGAGGCACATGCACTGACAACTGGAATTGTGGACTGGTCTAAACAGCCAGATTTTAACTCATTTAGATAAGTCTGTGCTCTAAATCTGTCAGTTTTACCTCCTGGGAATGAGGCTGTGTGCAAAACTCCTCCCTGTACAACCACCAGGGGCGCTATGCCCTGTGTTGCACCTGTCTAGATAAGCCATTCTTTATTATAGGTTTCTGCTCTCCACGTGGAGATTGTGAGGAATACGGCTGTGTGTGTCTGAACTGCGCCTTGTAATCAGAGCTAAAATGTGCAGCTTGCACTGGAACTACTGTGCCACTCGGAGAATTAACATCAACTGGTCCCTGTGACTTGCTTGAAGTGGCTGAAGGAGACTGGAAATACTTGAAATTTTCCAAAAAGCATGTACAATCAGCAAGAAAACCCTCAGCTTGTTTTAATCTGGCTTCAACTGTATTTCTTATCAAAGAGGTACAGCTACTGATTTGTTTAGCTTTCTCAACAGCAAGAGAGGCTTGCTTCAAAAATAGTCCTATAGCATCCCCTTGTGGGGGAGGACTGTCACTGTCCCCAAACATGCCCTTTTTTTTGCATCTGCAGGACCCAAGTAATAAACCAATCTCTTGCAGTGTCCTGCTCACCTTTAGAAACCGTATTTAACCATTTTAAACAAAACTATAGAGTACTGAGCCCAAAGTGTCAGGTTTGCACATTTTCTACCAATCCACCCACAAGATATGAAAAATAAAAAATATTTCCGTGCCCTCAATCATTTAACAGTTAGCAGTGGTCGTCTTATAAATATTTAGACATTCAGGAATGTGCTCCGCTGGGACGAATCTCCCCCTGCTACTTCCGCCTCACAAAAAGCCAGTCTTCCTATCGGAGCAAAAAAATCCCAATACTTTAGGAGACAACCATCAAAATTTGTGGTTATCCACTTAACATGGATTTTACGTCTCTGATATTCAATTTCTATAACTAGGGCACTTATTGTTCTATCCCTCACATGAAAATATGTGCTTGCAACCTTACGTGTGGCAAAAACAAGACTAGCACATTTCAAAATAAGTGTTATCTTACCCTTACTGTAATCATTCGATTTTTAGATCAGGAATTTACAGTTCACATAGATCAACAAAATTTTGTAAAGTCCAATATGCAGGAATTCTGTACAAAAGGCTCCTACTCACCTCTATTGCCGGCAAATGTTGATCAGTGAGTCCGTTCACTCCCGACATGGAATCCAGCTCAGAATTCAGCCAATTCTGAAGGTCATGGCACCAAGTTGTTATCCCCCAGTTTTTTTATTGGACAGATCTGAATAAGGAAGGAGTCCGTCTATCTTCATTTTAGTACTGAGTCATTTAAAAACCACAAATAAAACTAGAGAAATGCATTTCCTGTCGTAAATGCGTGTAGATGCTAATAAGCTAAAAGATCGTCCTGAAATGGAGTGGGTGGAGAAAGGTGTCAGGAGTGTTGTGTGACAGAAGAGTGGCAGCAAGAATCAAAGGAAAGGTGTACAAGACAGTAGTGAGACCAGCTATGCTGTATGGGCTAGAGACTGTAGCAGTGAGGAAAAGACAAGAGGCAGAGATGGAGGTAGCAGAGATGAGGATGTTGAGGTTCTTACTTACTTTTCAACACTGTGTATCAGAGCTACTGCTAATGCAAGCTCAGTATTTTCTACTTATTCTTTCAGCTGTTCCCATTAGGGGTCGCCACAGCGAATCATCTGTTTCCA